CCCTTCTGGGGGGGTCCCATTAGGTTGCCTTTACTATTGACAGTACCTCTTTCTGTGCCATGCTATATTTGCTCCTCATGGTGACCACCTCCACCTCTGCTTCAGTAAGCTGATTCTTTGTCTTTTGTGCCTGTAGGTCAAGAAACATTAGGAACCATCAGGAAATGTATAACCAGACAGAAATATCACATAATGCCACTATATAAATCCATGGAATGCCCCACCTTGAATACTGCATGCGGTTCTGGTCGCCCCATCTATAAAAAGATGTATTAGAACTGGAAAAGGTACTGAGAAGGGCAACAAAAATGATGAGGGGTATGGAATGGCTTCCATGTGAGGAGAGATTAAAAATACTGGGACTGTTCAGCTTAGAAAAGAGACAACCGAGGGGGGATATGATAGAGGGCTGCAAAATCATGACTGGTGTGAAGAAAATGAATAAGGAAGTGTTATTTACTCCTCCTCATAACACAAAAACCAGGGATCACCCAATGAAATTAACAAGCAGCAAGTTTAAAACAAACAAAAGGAAGTATTTCTTCACACAACAATCCATCAACTGGTGGCACTTGTTGCTGGGGATGTTGTGAAGGCCAAGAACATAACTGGGTTCAAAAAAGAATTAGACAAGTTCCTGGAGCACAGGTCCATCAATGGCTATTGGTAATGGCTGGCTGCCTACAGAAAGTCCTGGCTACATGTTAGTCCTTTCACTGCCACTGCATTGTCTTCTCCCCTCCCCTCGGCCTGTCCAGCACAGCCTGGGTCCACTCCTACTCCCCATGGAGAGGCCGGCCTCGGCTTGGGACCTGCAGGCAGAGCTGGGGAGAGGAGGCAGGAACGGTGTGGGGATTAGCACGGAGCCAGTGGGGCTATTTTTTGATCAGGGGGACAGACATAGGGGAGACGGGGGGATAACAGATGTGCGAGGTTTGGGGAGACAGAGATTAAGCCCCCCACATTCCCCATGGCACAACTCTGACCTCTCCATTCCACCTCACAGCCCCCCTCAACACATCTTTAATGGAAAGGGAGAATATGGGGCTGACAGGCGCCCCTACCCCTAATCCACCCCCCCACCACACACTCCCATTTCCCCTTCCAGACTGCCAGCCTCCCCTACCACTCCCTCTAATCCTCCCCCTCCCTTTACCACCCATCCTCATTTATTCTCTGCTCCCCAACCTCCTCCCCCCTCCTCCCTGCACTAGTCCAAGGCCCTTCCATATTCCCCTTCACTGCTCCGACACCCCATATTCCCTCACTCTGCACCCTAAAAGTTACAAGAATCTGAAAATGACATAAGCAGCTGCTGTTAGGGTGGTTTCATGTCAGGAACCCCAAGACCGAATGATGCAGTGACTTGCTTTCCTTTGATCGCACTCAGGTCCAGTTACATTACATTATCCTAATGTAATGGGAGAGGGATAGCTCAGTGGTTTGAGCATTGGCCTGCTAAACCCAGGGTTGGGAGTTCAATCCTTGAGGGGGCCACTTAGGGATCTGGGGCAAAATCAGTACTTGGTCCTGCTAGTGAAGGCAGGGGGCTGGACTCAATGACCTTTCAAAGTCCCTTCCAGTTCTAGGAGATAGGATATCTCCATTTATTTTTAACTGCTCACTAGAATCCTTCTTCCCGCTAATTTCTTTGACAGTATTTCTAAAGTAAGATTGGAGTCTGTATATGGATTTTTTTCATAGAGTCCAAGGCCAGAAGGGACTGTTGTGATCATCCAGTCTGACCTCCTGTGTAACACAGGCCAGAGACCTGCCCCACAATAATCCCCAGGGCAGATTTCTGAGAAAAACATCCAATCTTGATTTTAAAATTGCCAGTGATGGAGAATCCACCACGACCCTCCGTAAATTGTTCCACTGGGTTAATCACTCTCACCGTTATACATTTATGCCTAATCTCCAGTCTGAATTTGTCTAACTTCAACTTCCAGCCATTGGACTTTTCTCTGCTAGATTGAAGAGCCCGTTATTAAATATTTGTTCCCCACATAGGTACTTACAGACTGTGATCATGTCTCCCCTTAACCGTCTCTGTGTTAAGCTAAATAGACTGAGCTCCTTGAGTCCATCACTATAAGGCAGATATTCTAAGTCTATAATCCTTCTCATGATTCTTCTCTGAACTCTCTCCAAGTGATTAACATCTTTCCTGAGTTGTGGGCACCAGAACTGAACACAGCATTCCAGCAGCGTCACACCAGTGCCAAATGCAGAGGTAAAATAAATTCTCCACTTCTACTCAAGATCTCCCTGTTTACGCATCCCAGGAACAAGCTAGCCCTTGTGGCCACAGCATTGCCATGGTTGCTCTTTAAAATATTGCTCTGAAACCAGAAATGTTGGTCTCATGGAAGAACTTCCCAAAGGAGTCCTGCAGAATGCAGTCAGAGAGTCTAACATGGGGGTTAGACTAGCTGACCCTTGTGGTCCCTTCTAACTCTCTGGTTCTAGGATACATGCGGCCTCTGAAAGCTCCCAAGGCTAGGCAACCACAGCATGTCACCTTGCGCCACCTGGAGCCTGGCAATCCCGTTCCTTCTCTCCAATGAGCTGCCAACCTGCCTTCCTGTCTAGCAAGCAATTTGCTGCTTTGTCAACTGGCCGACTTTAGAGCTAACCCAGCTCCTCTTACTCCCAGGGAGTGGTCTCATTGAAGCTAACGGGATTCATATGTGCAAAAGTGAGTCTTCACTGCTCTGACCCGGATGTGGTCCCTAAACCCCTCTGGTCCACACACAAAACCCAGTCATCCCAGGTCAGTGCTTTCAAGTTTCAACCCAGGTTAGCTGGCTTGACTAAAGGCCAAGTGAGGCTTTCACTTGGGCTGGTAACCTGCCCACTTTGAAGTGAGGAGGCCAGCTAAATAACTCAAGTGCTGATAGTCTTCCAGTCCACCCAAAATTGCCCCTGTGTGACCAGGACAGACAAGTTCTCCCACAATTCACTGGGAAAGAATCATAGAGCTTCTCAGCTCACTGCAGCACAAAGAGCCATGGGAGGTGCCCCCAGAAGTCCTAGTGATACACACTGAGGAGCGCAGCCCCGGAGAGGACACAGTACGTCGGATAGGGCTTTGCAGTGTGGCTGCTCACCCCTGGACTAGGCTAACCCGGGGGCTCAGACCTAGGAACCAATCACCCAGGTTAGCCCTGTATTGACGATATACCCAAAGGGAAGCCAACAACCAACAGAACACGAAATCCTGACCTAATGCTGAGCGCTATAGCCAGTCAAGCCTTCCTGAGTCTACGAGCCCCTGATCAGCCTGGCAGCCGGGCACTGCCCCAGCAGGTTGGATAATATGCATCCTACTGTATTTTATTTAATAAGTTCTCTTAAAATCTTGCTGCGAATCACCACATACATAAAAGACAAGACAGGGAAACAGAGGAAATGCTGCAGGCACGGATACAAGTGGGATGACAGCCCCATAGTAACTGGAGCCCACAGCATTGGCGTATGTGGAAGGGGCAGCACCAGCAGGATGGTTGCAAGGTGTTCCAGCTAAAGTGCCGATGCTCGTGGAATCGCAGCAAACACTGTTTAATTCTGTCCTCTAGAGAAGGGCAGAGCACAAGGCACAAAACCTAAGGAACAATAAAGAGGGATGTATGTAAAGCAACGCCCACGGGGAATCTGCGTTGTTCCAGCTCACAGAGCTAGCAGCTGTAATAACGCCGTTTGCACATAGCCACAATGACACCATTGCTAACATCAGGTCTTTTGTCTTAAAGCGAAGGCTTTCCCACTGATATTCAATGGAGTCCTTTGCACACAGCACATCAGCCAGTTTAAAAAACGTATTTACTGACCATGCATTAACCTGACAAAATACAAGGAAAGGGCTGGCCACAGGATCAAACTGCTCCTTAGCAACACTCTGGGGAGTCCACACAAGGCTGATGCCTGGAGCCCCAAGCATGCTAGGTCAGTGGTGCTGAAACCACTGTGCATGGCTCTTTGGTGTCAAGAACTGCCCTTACTGCCGTCCTGCAGACAGCTGGCTAGTCACATGGTGCTGGCTCGCCTGGCTTTCGGCTGCTAAATTTAATTAAGACAGCTAGAACAGATCATACACTTTCCTAATATTACTTTTCCTAGTAAGCAACTGCTGCTGTTGCTGCCACAGGCATGTGCAGCCATGAGTGGGAGGAGGGAGATGGTTTGTGCCAGCACAGTTGTGCAGGAGAATCTCGCTATGTACTTCTCACTGCAAAATATCCAAGAGCTGCTGTGTAGGCGCTTTACAGGCCGAAGGGAAGAAATGGACCCTGCCCTGAGAAACGCACTGTCCACATTCAGATGGGACAGAATCAGGAAAGGGAACAAACAGCAGCGAGACAGAAGCAGAATGGCTACAACCATCCAAAGCGACAAAGAGTCCTGTGGCACCTTGCAGACTAACAGACGTATTGGAGCATAAGCTTTTGTGGGTGAATAGGCATGCATCCGACAAAGTGGGCATTCACCCACGAAAGCTCATGCTCCAATACGTCTGTTAGTCTATAAGGTGCCACAGGACTCTTTGTCGCTTTTTACAGATCCAGACTAATACAGCTACCCCCTCTGATACTTACAACCATACAGTCTTGCAGAGACTACCCAATTGATGCATGCACACATCTCAATGGTTCCATTACAGTCCTACAATCATTCTGCAAAGCTTTGTAAGTCATAAGCAAGAATGTGTTTGTCATGGCCATGACTTCCCTGATCTTTATTGTTATTTCTGCCCCGAAGTATGTCCCTCCAGAGCTCAGAACGCCCTGACACACTGAAAAATACAATAAAGAAGAGTTACATAATCAAACAAAAGACACCCTCATGGTCACTTCAACCTGGTCTGCCTGATACCCAGCAAATCGCCTCTGGGAATTGTTACATCTCAGACTGTGTCTTGCTGTGGGAGTCGTTGGGGCTTGGTGATCGTTATATACTTGTAAAACACTGACAATGACTATTTAATCATTTTCCAATGGAAAGTCAACATGCCCACAATGCCCTGGGTGTGCCAGGATGCTCCCTGTTTGTCATTCACTAAAATGATGCCCGTCTGCCATGACAAACAACCAGTCTGTTCAAGAGCTGCGGGTCAGTGGATTCGTGTTC